TGACGTAGTCACAGTTTCAGGCAACATCTCTGCTGCGTAGCAGAGCCCAAGGAGAACTGTTGAATGAAACGGTGGGCTCGGAGCTCTGGGTCGGTCGGCTGGTCTGTGGCTTCCTTTAGGGGCCCGAAGGCGGCCCAAGCTCCTCTTTGCCTCCTGTTTAATTCTTCTCTCAGGTCGTTTTCCATGTTCATCGAACGCCCGAGGTATATATTATAAGACGTCTCCGCGATTGGAGATCCCTCGATCCATTTTCTGATCCTCGCAAAAAGCATTCTTCATGAACTGAGTCTTCTTCCGTTTGATTCGCGCTCCTATCTGCTTCCCTACTTCATTCAGTTCCTTCAGCATCGTCTCCACTTCAATGATATTTCTCGAGAAGAGAACAATGTCGTCCGTAAAACGAAGTTCGAGAGGAATCTCCAATCAACTCGGTTACCTCTATCGTTCCAATCCAGTAATTTCATCACCCACTGCAACGCAGTGGTAAACAGCTTTGGCGACACGATGTCGCCTTGTCGAACCCCCTTCGAGATCGGTATGTTGAGGGGCTAATGGAAAAGCTGTACCGTTGTAGAGCAGTTCCTGTAGCGATCGGCCAATGTCCTCACGTAAGATGGGTCCACTCTTTGATCGACAAGCGCTGACAGTATGGCATGAGACTTGACGCTGTCAAACGCTTTCTCATAGTCAACAAAGGTTGGGTGGAGAGGTAGGCGGTACTCACGGCAAACCTCGATAATCCTCGAAACTGTCTGGATGGATCCACGCAGCTGAATCCCTGGCAAAATCCAGCTTGTTCTACAGATTGGGCTTTACTTAGTGTCCTTGATATGCGAGCGTGAATAATCCTCAAAGAGCTTGTAAAGCGCGCTCAGCAGGCATATTGGACGGTAGTTGTTCGGGAGGTTCTCCACTGGTCGGGGATACTTTCCTTTTGAAGGCAGGGCGTTAGATGTTCCGCAAGTATCTCGTGTAGGCGATGTCCTCCAGCTCGTAAGTGGTCAGCCGAAACATGCTCCGGTCCCGGAGCCGTGGCTGCCTTCATGGTCTGGATTGCGGTACGTACTTCAGCAGGTAGAATCCATGGTGGTATTTTTCCAGTGGGAATAACGGGGTCTGACACGGGTGTTGACGAGCGAAAGAGATTGGTGTAGAATCTCTTTGTGATCGATTCCATCTTCTGTCGGGAAGATGTGCAAGTCCCGTCTTCGTTTAGTAATGTTGCCAGCGAAACACGATAGTCGAGAAGGTCCCTGCAGTACTTGTTTAGACTTTTCCTTCCTTGTGCTGCTTCTAAAAGT